GAAATAGGGTAATTTGCCTTCTTGCCACTGAGTTTCTTACATAGTTTGGAAGAATTAACATCACTAAAATGGTCATACTACCCCCAATTTAACCAATTTAATATAATCTCTAATTCCAATTACATTTTTCCCAGAGGGGGAAGAATCCTATAATGGATCATTAACATATTACTACAGAACCACAAGACCCAAACAGAGCAATCATGAGCAAAAAGAACAAAGCTGGAGGCATCACTCTAGCCGATTTCAAAATACACTACAAAGCTATAGTCATTGAAAAACCATCGTACTCATATTAAAAACAGACACATACTCTAATGGATCAGACTAGAGAATCGAGAAATAAATCCACACATTTACAATCAATTGATTTTCACTAAAATGTCAAAAACTCACAAAGGGTAAAGGACAGTCTCTTCTATAAATGGTGCTAGGAAAACTGGATATCCACATGCAATAGAAAAACTAGACCTCTACCTCAAACCATATACAAAAAAATCAGCTTAAAATGCATTAAAAACTTAAATTTAAGACATGAAACTGTAAAACTATTAAAATAAAACATAGGAGAAAATATCCCTATGAAATTTTTCTAGGCAATTATTTTTTGGGATATGGCCCCAAAAGTACAGGCAACAAAAGCGAAAATAGACCAATGAAATTACAACAAACTAGAAAGCACAGCAAAGAAAATCAACAAAGTAATGAGACAAACAGGAAGTGAGAGAAAATATTTGCAAACCATGAATTTGATGAGGTTAATATCCAATAGATTTAAGGGACTATTATTATCTTAATACTATCAAGTCCTCTGATCCATGAACATGGATGTCTATTCTTTTTTTTGAGACAGTGTCTCACTTTTGTTGCCCAAGCTAGAATGCCGTGTTGTCAGCTTAGCTCACAGCAACCTCAAACTCCTGGGCTCAAGCGATCCTCCTGCCTCAGCCTCCCGAGTAGCTGAAGCTACAGGCATGTGCCACCATGTTCGGCTAATATATATATATTCAGTTGGCCAATTAATTTCTTTCTATTTATAGTAGAGACGGGGGTCTCACTTTTGCTCAGGCTGATTTTGAACTCCCGACCTTGAGCAATCCGCCCACCTCGGCCTCCCAGAGTGCCAGGATTACAGACGTGAGCCACCATACCCGGCACTAAACAGGATTTTGATCACAAAAACAGTGGTGATCCAAACCTCTGAAATTGCAGAGCACACAAATTAAGAAAAATGCAAAACCTATCTTAACTGAATTGACCTTACAACACCTAAACATTCTCTTTAAAAGATATCAATACAGCACATGTCACTCAATAGCAGGGATACATTCTGAGAAATACATCTTTAGGCAATTTCATCACTGTATGATCATCATGGAGTGTATTACACAAACCTAGATGGCATAACACCCTACACACCTAGGATATATGATATCGCCTATTGCTCCTAGGCTACAAACCTGTATAGCATGTTATACTGTATTATTGAATGCTGTAGGCCACACTGTTTTCTGAATTTCTGGATTGTCCAAGCATATGGAAATAAAATAGATTTTTGCATACTAATCTTGTATCCATCATAACTTATTGCAGCCTTGAACTCCTAGACTTAAGTGATCTTTCTGCCTCAGCCTTCTGAATATAGCTGAGACTAGAGGTACAGTCCCGAACCTGGCTTTTTTTTTAAGAGGTGAGGTCTCGCTATGTTGCCAGGACTGGTCTCAAACTCCTGGGCTCAAGTGATCCTCCTGCCTCAGCCTCCCAAAGACTTGGGATTACAAGCATGAGCCACGATGGCCATGCTACTGAACTTGTTTTTTTTTTTTCGCTTGTTGCCCAGGCTAGAGTGAGTGCCGTGGCGTCAGCCTAGCTCACAGCAACCTCAAACTCCTGGCTCAAGCAATCCTGCTGCCTCAGCCTCCCAAGTAGCTGGGACTACAGGCATGCGCCACCATGCCCGGCTAATTTTATATATATATTAGTTGGCCAATTAATTTATTTCTATTTATAGTAGAGACGGGGTCTCGCTCTTGCTCAGGCTGGTTTCGAACTCCTGACCTCGAGCAATCCGCCCACCTCAGCCTCCCAGAGTGCTAGGATTACAGGCGTGAGCCACCGCGCCCGGCTCTGAACTTGTTTTTATCTGATAATTTTTTGTGGATTCCTTAGGATTTTCTACTCACTAGATGTCATCTGTGTATAGATGTCTTCTCTCTTTCCAATCTCAATTTTATTCTCTTTCCTAATTTTCCCGACTAGATCTTTCAGAACAACGTTGAAGTAGTAAGAGTGGTCATATAGTTCCTGATTTAGGAAGGAAACCTTGAGTTTTCATCACAGCATGGCATTAGCTATGAGTTTTTCACAAGATGCATTTTATCAGACTGACAAAGTTCCACACTTTCCCTACTTTGTTGAATGTTTTTACCATGAAGGGGCATGAATTTTGTCAGAAAATGATTCTCAGCATCTTTTAAGTCAAGCATGTGGCTTTGTTCTCTATTCAATCTATATGGTACAAAACCAACCTTGCACTTCTGAGATAATTCCCACGTAGTAATGATGTACAATCCTTTATGCTTCCTCATTAGCATAGTGAATGAATAAAAACAAAGTGAAACATAAATTTAAAATTTAAATAAAAATCCTTTTCTAATTGCTATTATCTGGTTGAAGATTTTCACATTTACATCCATAAGAGACATCGTTCTGTAGTTTTCTTATGATGTCCTTATCTACTTTTGATATCAGGGGAAATACTGGCCTCACAGATTTTAGTTGGGAAACGTTCCTTCCTCGTCAATTTTTTTGAAGACTATCTGTGAAGAATTGGTATCTTTAAATGTTTGGTATCATTCACCAATAAAGCCAAAAGATTTGAGGCTTTTCTTTGCGTCCTAATTCAATGTCTTTACTTGTCATAGGTCTGCTGAGATCTTGAATCAGTTCCCGTAGTGTCGTTTTAGGATTTTTGTCTATTTCATATATTTAGTGGATTCACACAATTGTGATTTTTGTATGGTATTCCCTTATAATTGTTTTAACTTCTGGAAGGTCAATAGTGACATTCGTTCATTCCTCATTTTAGTAATTTGAGTCTCTTCCTTTCTTTTTCTTCATTAGTCTACCTCGTTGATCTTTTCAAAAACCAATTTTGGTTTCCTTGATTTTCTCCATTTTTGTCAAAAAAAATTTTTTTTTTTTTTTTTAAGACGAGAGTCGCACTCTGTTGCCCAGGCTAGAGTGTCGTGGAGTCAGCCTAGCTCACAGCAACTTCAAACTCCTGGGCTCAAGCAGCCCAGGAGTAGCTGGGGCTACTGCTCAGCCTCCTTCTGCCTCAGCCTCCTGAGTAGCTTGGGACTACAGGTATGCACCGCCACGCCTGGCTAATTTTTTTCTATATATTTTTAGTTGTCCAGTTCAGTTCATTTCTTTCTATTTTTAGTAGAGACAGAATCTCACTCTTGCTTAGGCTGGTCTCAAACTCCTGACCTCGAGCGATCCTCCCGCCTAGGCTTCCCAGAGTGCTAGGATTACAGGCGTGAGCCACCTCGCCCAGACTGCATTTTCTTTAACAATATTTTGTTTTCCCTGATGCTATCAAATCTAACTTTCCTATAAACCTAACCTTTATTTTTTTTTTTAAATTGACCAGAAGCATCACATAACAACATTTTCCCTATTCTACACTCCTTCAAGATCAAATTTAAAGAACACCTCTTCAAGAAAGCCTTCTACCAAGAGAACTACTTTCTTATCTGAATTTCTCCTTAGCAATGTGACATTTCCAGTTACAAAATATGAGGACAGAGATGCATCTTACTTATTTTTATAACCTCAGTGAAATGCCTTTCATATAGAAATTTTAAGAAATGCTGTATGGAGCCGGGGGGTGGAAAAAAAAAAACTGCTGTATGGTGGCTCGCTACTTTGTGAGGCCGAGGCGGGAGGACCACTTGTGGCCAGGCGTCCAAGACCAGCCTGGGCAACAGACTGAGACCCTGCCTCTACAAAAAATTTTAAATAGATTTCAGTTTCTTGAGCAAAGAAAAAGAAAAAATTTAAAAAAAAATTAAAGTTAAAAAAAAAACTTTTTAAATTAGCCAGGCATGCTAGCACACACCTTTAATCCCAGCTACTCGTAGGCTGAGGTTCAAGGATCACTTGAGCCCAGAATATGGAAGCTGCAGTGAGCTATGATTATGCCACTGCACCCTGGCCCGGGGAACAAAGAGTATTGGAAAGCCACTCAGGGTCATTGTCTCTTTGATATAAAGAGTACCCGAAACAGGCAACTTTTGTCATAGCCATCTCATAAGCTACTTCATATCAGCAACACAATGCACAATAGCCCCTCAGTCGTATGCTAAGGGAAATCACATTTAGCAGATACATATAATGCCTCTATATAGTTAATGACTACATTTACTAATATCTATATAAATATCTTATATCCCTATGAGCTTAATCAAGAGTTCAAAAAGTCATATTATATCTCATTATCTCCCCTTCCTCCAGAAAGTTAGAGATTTCTCTCTAGATAATACCTGACTATAATCTGTCCTACCCAGATTGGTAAAGATCAAGGATAAAAAGTTAGCTGAGTTTAATATACTGTACTGTAAAAGTCAGGTTTAAGAAGAATAAGTATCTAAAAGATTAAGTATAGGAGACAGAATGAGATAAAAGAATACAGTTCTTTGTATTTTGTATTATCTCACTCAATGAGAACTAACACTCTTGTGCACTTAAAGTCATACAGTTTTTATTTTTAACTATCCAATATATTACTTAAAATTTGGTAACATCAAATGAAACATCTGTACACACCCACTGTAAGAGAACTATGAAATATGCACAGGCAAAGATGCAGGGATCACAATAGGTTCATACCAGACTTCAAAATATTAAGTAGCAAGGAAATACAATGGAATTAAAGGCTGAGATGATTGAAGTACAGAGTTGATAAGGCAAGGCATAGCAGAAAATTCAAGATGTACCTAGATACACCAGTTCTTAAAACACGCAAATCGTTTCCAATAAGGTACTGCTCATGCAATTTCTGTTGAGGCAGAAGTCAATCTTAGGACGTGTCCTGCACATATCTGCAGATAAGACTAAGAGTAAAATAGATTAAATTGATTAAGATCAGAGTCAACACTTCTAATAAAAAAAAAAAAAAAAGAACTGAGGAATAAACAAGGTAAGAAAAGCATACTTCATAAAAGCTGAATTCAGCATAATTAGTCCTTCATTCAGATGCTTCATTTTTCAAGAACTTTCCTGTGATATAAATTATGTTTTATCTTGAATGTTCTTCCCCATTTGTTTTGCAAATAGTTATGTCGAAGGTCATTTACTGGCTACAAGTAAATATGACAAAAATCACACTGAAAATAGCATTAAGTCCCAATCTAGAAAAACAGCCGAAGTGCATCTAACATAATTTTTCTACTGCGAATTATTCCGTATATTGCTTTATAGCCATACATTAAGTCTTCAGAACAGAAAAACCTACGTCACACAGCAAGCAACTTGTGTTGGCTTATATTAGAAGGTTCATCTTTCAACAGTCAGTTTTCCTAAGTGCGGCAGCGTTTCAACAGAGAAAGCAAAATAATTACTGCTTCGGTTTAGACACACTCTTGAACTTGCTAAAATTGGAGAAAGAAGGTGGGGGAGGGGCCACAGGAAGGAAATAGGTGGATTTTTTTCAAAAAAGATATTCATAACAATGAACTTCAACATTAAAGGCGTCATTAAATCATAGCATCCCTACGCCGGTAAACTCAGCTGAGGCACATACAGTATTTTGGCACTTTACTCAGAATTTGGTATTATCCCTAATGGTCCAGTGCCTACTTCATTACAACCTATATCAAAGGCCACTTGGCAGGATTCAGTGAACCGTTCTGGCATTAGGTTTCCTCAGATAAAGACAGATGACTAAAACAACTCACGGAAATTTGTCAACAGGATACTAAAGTTGGAGGTGGGAATAAATTTCACCCGTTAACCTGTGAAAGCACTCCGGGCCAAGGCTAAGTTTTCTTTTACTTACTAGTCAAGGAAAAAAGAAAAAAAAAAAAACAACAAGAGCGAGGCCACTTCCTCCGCAGCCGTAACCAGGTGCCGCCTCAACCGGGGGCGGCAAACGACTCCCACTTCGCCAGCGCTCCGCTCGGAAAGCGCTGTAGACGCGGCCTTCCGCCCCTCGCGGCGTCTTCCCGGCAGGTCCGAGCCCCAGCGCCCCCGTGGACGCCTTTCAGCCAGCCAGCCCCGCCGCCACCGTCCCGCTCGCCCGGGACTCCGAGGACTCCGCAGCTGTACCTCAGAGAAGCGCGCGGCGCCCGCGAAACCGCCGCTCGGCCAACCGCTGCTCGGCCAACCGCCGCTCGCCCGGCCCCAACGTACCTACGCCGGGAGCTGCTCTGGGTGCAACCGATCCGAACCGCAACTGCCGCTCACAATGGTGGTCCAGGAGGGACCAGGGGAGGTAAGAGTCTCCCGCCGCCCAACCCCGGCTGCCTCCGAGCCAATGGCAGCGCGAACGTGCCGTAGCCTAGCCAATCAGACACGACCGTAGGAGTGGGCGGGGAGAAATGCAGTTAACGGAAGTGGAAGTCGACTGAGGGCCGCCCGCTGTTCGCTTCCACGAGCGCTTCTTCCCGGCAGCCCCTGGGGCAGCTTTTTGCGTCCCGTTACTCCCCCTCCCCCACCTCAGTCACGGAATAGAGCGCCCAACTAGGTCGTTTTTTTTGTTTTTTTTCCTGAGCGACTCATGCAAAAATTTGGATAGTTTTTCAAAAATTATTACTAATAAAATGTATTTACGAAAACAATTTGAATTTTACAATATTGTATTAAAATATTTATCTTGACGACTGAGTTTTTTTGACGACCCTTTTACATTTTGTGACTTAGGAGAGTGGCCCTCAGACTGTTGTCTTTTTCTTGAGTTCCCTAATTTGTCCCAGATGCCTACCACCCTAGGTTGCCTCGGATTTCTGGAGGCCTACTGCTAGAGAATGGCCCTCTCGGTGGTTATCATGTGCTCACCCAATAGGTCGTCATGGCGTCTCCTCTGAGGGAAATGCCCGAACTCTAACCGTCACCTATGTCGGTAAAGCCCCCTTTGTCACAGAGGGTAGAGCTGCCTGCCTTGGCCTAGTCACTTCTGGCTACCAAAAAGCCGAGACAAAGCCAATCTAGAAAATTAAGTCATTAACTAACAGAATCGCATCCGTTAAACCAGCAGGTTCCCCAAATACGGTCCAGGGATTTCAGGATCTGAAATGTCAGTACAATTTTAATAATAATGTGAAGATAGTATTTACTTTATTTCGTTCTTTCAGTCAGGAGAGTTCCCTGGAATCTTCCAGAAGCTTTTAGAAAATCGACATGGGAGGCCGGGCGTGGTGGCACAAGCTTGTAATCTTAGCACTCTGGGAGTCCGAGGCGGGAGGATTGCTTGAGCTCAGGAGTTCCAGACCAGCCTGAGCAAGAGTGAGACCCCGTCTCCACTATAAATAGAAAGAAATTAACCAAACAACTAAAAATAGAAAAAATTAGCGGGGCACGGAGACGTGTGCCTATAGTCTCAGCTACTTGGGAGGCTAACAGAATGAGACTCTTGACTCAAAAAAGTTCACAACCCCCCTCGCTGCTAAATTTGACTAGTATTAATTAAAAAAAAATGATTTGATGATTTTTTTTTTTTTTTTGAGACAGAGTCTCGCTTTGTTGCCCAGGCTAGAGTGAGTGCCATGGCGTCAGCCTAGCTCACAGCAACCTCAAACTCCTGGGCTCCAGCGATCCTTCTGCCTCAGCCTCCCGAGTAGCTGGGACTACAGGCATGCGCCACCATGCCCAGCTAATTTTTTACATATATATATCAGTTGGCCAATTAATTTCTTTCTATTTATAGTAGAGACGGGGTCTCGCTCTTGCTCAGGCTGGTTTTGAACTCCTGACCTTGAGCAATCCGCCCGCCTCGGCCTCCCAAGAGCTAGGATTACAGGTGTGAGCCACCGCGCCCGGCCTTGATTTGATGATTTTAATGACCCGGTGTGGTGGTTCACGCCTGTAATGCTAGCACTCTGGAAGGCCAAGGTAGGAGGATCACTTGAGTTCAGGAGTTCGAGACTAGCCTGAGCAAAAGTGACACCATCTCTACTAAAAATAAAAAAGTAGCTGGGCATGGTGGTGCACACCTGCAGTCCCAGCTACTGGGAAGGCTGAGGCAGGAGGATCCCTTGAGTTTGCGGTTGCTGTGAGCTATGATGATGCCACTGCACTCTAGCCCCGGTGACAGAGTGAGACTCTGTCCCCCATCCGCCACCAAAAAAAGTCTCAAAGAATGATTTTGAAAATAATCGAAGAGTATATACCGAGTTGCTGAGCGAGTAGTTTTGGGAGAGAGTGGGAGGTAGGTTAAGTTGCAGCCGGGTAAGGAATTTGGACTTCATTCAGTCAAGAATGAGTAATTAGCTTTTAGAAATGTTATGTCTTTTTAGGGTAGTGGGATATCTTGTATGTTATTTTAATAATAATGATAATAATTATTATTTACTGGATGCTGTGTTAATCAAGTTCAATGCATACAATATTTTCCATTTATTTCCACACTTGAAGTTGGGCAATCTGTATTCAAAGCCATGCTGGGTCACTTACCAGCCACATGGTCTTGGGCAAGTTAGCTCACTTTCCAGGTACACAATGATCTTATCTCTAAATAGGAACAACAACAACAGCAATAACAAATTGTAGAAGTAGAAGCTGATCTGGTGTTTCCTGTTATCCCAGACCCTCAAGTAGAAATTCCTAAGGCTTGCAGGAGAGAAAAACAGAATAATAAATCAGAGCCATTTGTGTAACCTCGCAGCTGCATATAGTTAAAATTTTACTATGTTTTCTCAATTTAGAAAGAACATGCTGTATCCTTGGCTGATGATGTCTGCTTCTATAACCCTGCTTGCATAAGAATTGTTAGTATTGTTTGTGTTGTTATCAGGCCAGGGGGTTGGAGGCTGGTCCCGGACCCCCAGGACCCGCACCCGCATGGAAAACATGATGTAATGTTACAAGATAATGTTTCAACTGCTGTGCCTAAAGCCACGTAGCCCCTAACTCAGGATGATAGAAAAACCTCCCTGCTCCTTCAACTGGGGCCTCTCTCTATACCTGCCTTCTTGGGGAACAGAGGTGGTCGTTGGCCAGCTAATAAAGACTCACAATTCGTTTGAATTTGGTCTGAAGTAGTCATTTCTCGCACTCCGTACCATAACACAAATGTCTCATTAAGTTCTTAATTATCTTAGGCACTGCACTCAGAACTCATTCATATTACTTAATTCTCATAACACATACTACATAAAGTACTGCAAAGTCTCTCAATTTGCTATTTGACTTTCTAAAAGAACTACATGAGATAACAGCGATACATCTTTTTTTTTTTTTTTTTTTTTTTTTTGAGACAGAGTCTCACTCTGTTGCCCAGGCTAGAGTGAGTGCCGTGGCGTCAGCCTAGCTCACAGCAACCTCAAACTCCTGGGCTCAAGCGATCCTTCTGCCTGAGCCTCCTGAGTAGCTGGAACTACAGGCATGCACCACCATATCCGGCTAATTTTTTCCATATATATTTTTAGTTGGTCAATTAATTTCTTTCTATTTTTGGTAGAGACAGGGGTCTCACTCTCGCTCAGGCTGGTTTTGAACCCCTAATCTCGAGCAATCCTCCCGCCTTGGCCTCCCAGAGTGCTAGGATTACAGGCGTGAGCCACCACACCCGGCCGATACAGCTTCTTATATATCTCCTGACTTATAGTAGACACTTGATGTATAGTAACTATTATTAAAATTGATAAAACTGAGAACATGAATGATCTTGAGCAAATCTACTAGCCTTTTGTGTTGGAATTTTTCTTGTTTGCTCATTTTCTTCCAAATGAGGATTGTGGTAGGCAGAATTGGAACCCCATGATCTTTGTCCTCTACTATTCCTCTTATCATTAAGTTACATTACATGGCAAAGGAGCCTTTACAAATATGATTAAAGTAACCCCTGCCTAGCTTACCATTCTCGTTTCTAGTCTCTTCATAAGATATCCTGTTATTTCGAGAAGTTGGGACTTTGCATTTGTTGCCCCAACTGTTTAGAAAAACCTTTTCCCCTTTCTTCACCTGGCTAAAGTCTACTCAAACTTTAAACGAAATCACTTTCATCCACAGCATAATGCTTATTGTACTATGCTCTCTCCTTTCTCATTTGTCTCTTTCTACTACTTACGAGCATCCTGAGAGCAGTGACTCATCTTTCAGTTATAATCAGCTGACCTTAAAATGAAGGGATTAGCTGCGATTTTCCAGGTGGGTACAATGAAATCACATGAACAACTAAAGGCAAAAGATAAGTCAGATAGATACAGCAGAAAGGGAATTCACAGAAATTCAAAGCATGGAAAGGACTCAACCCATGGGTCCTGGCTTAAAGATGAAAGGGACCACATGGAAACTATGAGAACAAAAGTAATTCTGACGACAACCTGAAAATGACCCTCCTGAGGGAGATTCTCCCCCAAAGCCTTGGCTGGCTGCTGCCTCGATTTCAGCCTCAAAATGACCCTAAGCAATTTCCAGCTGAGTCCACTGTACTTCTGGTTTGTAGAACTGTGAGATAATATGTGGGTGTTGTTTTAAGCCACTACATTTGTGCTAATTTGTTATAGCAACAATAGAAATCTAACACAAGCATTCCATACCCTTCTCAGGTCTCCCTAAGGCAAGGCTGGAATCCTGAAAACTACATTTCCCAGATACCTTTTGCTTCCTGTGTTCTGGATTCACCAAGTGGGAGGCACTTCCTGATGTTCGGAAAGTGGAAGAAAGACATGTCATTGTTGTGGATTTTTGCTTGGGCTTTGTCTCTTTTCCTTGCCAGTCCCCGCTTCAGTAATATAAGGCAGCTGTGACAATTAACAGTGGTTTTATTAACTTTTCTGGCCTTTGGGCAGCAATAGCGGTAACTTCTATATTCTCTGGACCACAGATGCAGTGGCACAAATGAAAACCAATGGGGCAGTAGCCCCTCCAGATGCTTATAAGCATCTAAGTCTCTGTACTAAATAGCATTATGTTTGAAATATCTAGAGTGGTTTCTTTTTTCCATAATTGAACCCTAATTGATAGACTTCTCCATGTCTGAGTTTCCTCGTCTGTAAAATGAAATTACTCATAATGGACGACACACAATAGAAAGTAACTCCTTAGTATTATTGCATGGATTAAATGACACAGACTAAATCTGTGTAAAGTGCTTAACACACAGTAGGTGCTTAATAAATATCTGTTACTATTTTTTTCTTTTCTAAAGGGCTATCCATGTGATTATTGGCATTTCTGAATGCCAGTTTATTCTACCTTTTCCCTAACCTATCATCAACATTCGTACCTTGAAAACACACACACACACACACACATTCCTACTGCTTCATCTACTGGAGAGTTACAGCAGCCACAAAATACAATATAAGAAGTCAAGATTATATAGAGTTCTTAGCACTGTCAAGTATAAAAATTAACTCTGGAGTTAGACCAGTTATTTCATACTGGTCTTTATTGGATGTCTTTCAAAAGTCCAATGAGAAGTCTGGAAATGCAGCAATCGCAGAGAACAAACACATTTTCACAGTAACTTTTGTGAAATAGTAACCCCTGCCTAGCTTACCATTCTCATTTCTAGTCTCTTCATAAGATACCCTGTTATTTCGAGAAGTTGGGACTTTGCATTTGTTGCCCCAACTGTTTAGAAACACATTTTCCCTCTTCTTCACCTGGCTAAAGTCTACTCAAACTTTAAATGAAATCACTTTCATCCACAGCATAATGCTTATTGTACTATGCTCTCTCCTTTCTCATTTGTCTCTTTCTACTCCTAACGAGCATCCTGAGAGCACTGACTCATCTTTCAGGTACTGTTAGGACTCAGAAAACAATGGCCCAGAATGAAGTCATAAGAAGCAGTTTCAGACGCAAAAGTTTTTGTTTGTTTTTAATTTGTTTATTTCAGGATATTATGAGGGTACAAATATTTTGGTTACATTTTATGTCTTTGCCTCACCCAAGTGAGGATCAGAGGCATGCCCTTCCCCTCTACAATGCTCATCACATCCATTAGTTGTGAGTTTAGACCCCCCGACAACCCACTAATCCCTGAAGAATATTACTTACCGTGTGAGCACCATAGTGTTGATTAGTTAGTGCCAATTTGATGGCGAGTACATGTGGAGCCTATTCTCTTGATCTTGTGATACCTCACTTCGGATAATGGGCTCAAGCTCTATCCAGGAAAATATAAGGCGGTGCTAGATCACCGTCGTTTCTCATATTTGAGTAATATTCCATTGTATACATATACCAAATTTTAATAATCCACTCATGAATTGATGGGCACTTGGGTTGTTTCCACATCCTTGCAATACTGAATTGTGCTGCCATAAACATTCGGGTGCAGATGTCTTTATTTTAGAATATCTTTTGCTCTTTTGGGTAGATGCCTAATAGTGCTATTGCTGGATAGAATGGCATTTTCTATTTTTAGCTCTTCAGAAGCAAAAGTTTTTCTCTGGCCTTCTGCCCTCCTGCTTCTCAGTCCCATTGAAGCCAGCCTGAAGCCAGCCACGGAAACTAGAATCCCTCCTCCCCAAGGCGAGTCATAGAATCCAGAATCCCCTCAATTCCCCAAAGCCAACCACAAAACCTAAAATATATTACTCTAACTTTCCCTCCACCTTTCTGTGTAAAAACTGACCAAAGAGAAATTATCTCACCTACCTTATTTGACTATAGATCACATGACTCCCTTTCTAGAGACCCAGACCCAGAAGAAAGGAATGCATGCTCAGAGAGGCCAAGAAGAATCTAGACAGACAGGCCTTCCTGAGTTTTCTCGCTCAGTATATTAGCAATAGATCATACGCTTTTTGTCCAATCATATTTCTACATGGCTGTCCATACTTTGTTGTACCTAAGCATACAAGTTGACAATTTCCCCTGTATCTTAGGGTCTTCATCGTGAAGGCTCCTGAGTTATGTAAAACTATGATAACATAAATTTGCATGTCTTTTGTCCTATAAATCAGCCTCTTGTCCATGGTTCTCAGTGAAACTTCAGAGAGTGAAGGGGAAGTTTTCTCTTGGCCCTTACAATACTAGGTAAAACATTGTATATTTTTGCTTCCATTATCTGATACATAATAGATGCTCAATAAAAGTTCATAAAATGGGCCGGGCATGGTGGCTCACGCCTGTAATCCTAGCACTCTGGGAGGCCGAGGCAGGTGGATTGCTCGAGGTCAAGAGTTCAAAACCAGCCTGAGCAAGAGTGAGACCCCGTCTCTACTATAAATAGAAAGAAATTAATTGGCCAACTAATATATATAGAAAAAAGTCAGCTGGGCATGATGGCACATGCCTGTAGTCCCAGCTACTCGGGAGGCTGAGGCAGAAGGATTGCTTGAGCCCAGGAGTTTGAGGTTGCTGTGAGCTAGGCTGACGCCACGGCACTTTAGCCCAGGCAACAGAGTGAGACTCTGTCTCAAAAGAAAGAAAGAAAAAGTAAACATTTGCACTAAAATGAAACATCAAGAATGTGTGTTTTTGCAGGGTGATATTAGTGAAAATGGTAGAGTAGGTAGCTCCAAAGGGTCATCCTTCTGCAGAAACACCACAAGAAAAAGAAGAGAAACTGTCATAATCAAGTTGGTTGGACTTTTGAAAAATAAAAGGTTACAGTAACCAGGAGAATGCTGAATCAAGAAAAAGACAACTTGAAAACAGTATGCAAGTTTATAGCATTGCTTGCCCTTACTCCATCCCTCCCAGTGGTTTGGCAGTGTTCTGGAAGGTGGTGGCCCGTATTTCCAGTGTGGGACTTGATCGCTGGATTCACAAGTAGCAGACCAGCTATTTTTTTCCAAAGATTTTTTTTTTTTGGATTCATCTACCTGGGGACTATCTTAAGGACTGACACAAACACTTGTCTTTGTTTTTGCCTAACTTAGTCCTCTTTCAGGGCAGAAAAATCACTCCACAGAGGGCATTTCTTATAAGCACTGAAAGGCAAATGAGGAACCTGCTGCTACTTAGGACAAAAGGTTACAGTTAATCAGAACTGATAAACATGTCTGAAAAGAAAAAAAATAAAAAAAAAAAAAAAAAGGTTACAGTTAAGCAAACAACAGATGCACTGAAAGCCTGGGAGGAAAAGCTGGTGATTGAGATTCTTTAGAGAATTCAGGCATGAAAAACAAACTATGGATCCTAGGGAATTTAGAAAGCCACACACTTGTCCAGGGCAAGGTAAGTACTCATAAAATACCTGAGAAAACCCTGTAATTTTACCTCTGGCTGATCGTTAGAGAAAAAAGGAAGTGAAGGCTAAGGCAGAGATGGAAACAGCTTGGCTAATTGTTGAAAGAGTGCTCCAAACAGAAAGCCAATATGCAAAGACTAAGAGGTTTTGGGGGTCTTGGAATTTCTTTTCTTTTTGCTTCATGTCCTCTGTCAAAATACTAGCTGACCAAAAATTAAAATGAGATTTCATAGACCACACACAACAAAGAATACAGTCTTTACAAAATTTTTAATAAAAGTTGTTAGAGACTAAGACCCTCAACACCCCAACGACTTGTCCTACACACGGCCTCGCCCTGGAAAATTCCCAGGACGAAAATAAGCACCCAACCCCTCAGCTATAGCTCCGAGAAGAATGCATTCCATGACGTGCTTGCTCCAGGGTGTGCTACCTGCAATTGTTTGCTCCAGGGTGTGCTACCTGCTATTGTTCCCGACCCCCTGCCAGGTTGAGGTTGAGTGATCAGTCACAAACAGTTTTGATGCCTATAAGATGCTGATTGGGGCTGATTGACCCAGACCCGAGCCTCATCATCCCCCCACTCTAATTTTCTGTTCATACTTCCTTGTTTCTGTATGATTATAAAACCAGCAGAAAATCTAAGTAAAGTAGACCTTGACAACCATTTGCTTGGTCTCGTTCCTTTCTCTCGCCCATCTCTTTCAGGCACGGTCCCCCCCCTCCCGCGGGGTCGGGACAAAAAGTCACTAAACAAACAACTACAACCTATACCAGCAATGAAAACAAACCCTGAGGAGGGACAAGATTCTGATTTCCAGAGCTACTGCATTATAATAATCAAAATGTCCAAAAGTATGGCCAGTCCATAGGAGAAATGCACAGAAATTGATCTTCAAGCAGCACAGCCATTGGACTTAACACACAAAGACTTTAAATCAACTGTCTTAAATATGCTCAAATACCTGAAAGAAGTTTGTAAGCAATGAGCTAAAGCAAAACCCAGAAAATGGTGTCTTAACAAATAGAGACTATCAATAGATAAAAACTATAGAAAGAAACCAAATGGAAATTCTGGAGCTAAACAGTACAGGTAAATAAAATAAAATATTCGCCAGAGGGTTTCAGCAACAGATTTTATCAGACAGAAGTAAGAGTCAGCAAACTTGAATATGGGTCATATGAAATATCCCAATCTGAGGAATAGAAAGAAAAAAGAATGAAGAAAAACGAACATAGCCTAAAAGAGTCTATGGGATACCATCAAATATACCAACAAACAGAAAATGGCAGTCCCAGAGGGACAGAAAGTGGCAGAAAGAATATCTGAAGAAATAAGAGATGAAAACTCCACAAATTTGATCAAAGACATCAATCTATATATCCAAGAATCTTAGAGAACTCTGTGAAAGATAATTGCAGAGAGCTCCACACTAATGCATATTTTTATAATAGGAACTGTCAAAAACCAAAGAGACAGAGGGGATCTGGAAAATAGCAAGAGAGGCCACCTGTGGTGGCTCACACCTGTAATCCTAGCACCCTGGGAGGCCAAAGCAGGAGGATTCCCTGAGGTCAGGAGTTCGAGACCAGCCTGAGCAACATCAAGACCCCATCCCCACTAAAAATAGGAAGAAATTAGCTGGGCATGGTGGGGCATGCCTGTAGTCCCAGCTCCTTGGGAGGCTGAGGCAGAAGGATCGCTTGAGCCCAGGAATTTGAGGTTGCTGTGAGCTAGGCTGATGCTATCGCACTCTAGCCAGGGCAATAGGGCAACACTCTGTTGAAAAAAAAAAAAAAAGAAAGAAAATACCAAGAGAGAAGCACCTCATCATGTACAAAGGATCCTTTAAAACTTCATCAAGATGTACACTTATCACATGAAGACTTTTTTCTCTATATATATTTGTGGTAGATTGCCACAATAATGACTCCCCAATTTGTTCACATCTCCCTGTATCCAGA